TTTTGGTTATATTGATTTTTAAACCAACAAATTTGCTTTTCTGTTATATCAGTTCTTTTAATTCAGCTGCACTGTGTTGTCTGTGAGAGTGCTGTAAATAAATGCAGTGCAGCGCGTTTGGGTGGGGAGGACAGTTCAGTCTACTTCCTCTGCTAGATTTGAGAAAGCACAGACTATATAATGTTCAGGAATTCATTCAACAAAACAGTTCTCTCATTTGCTTTGTAAACTGTCCCATTTCTGAACATATTTACAGCTCTTTGTCTTGGAAATGAAATGGTATATTTCTACCTGAGTTTTGTACGTATGTGTGGACAAAATACAGTAGTTTAATTTCTTTTCCTTCCTCCTTAGTTAGAAACAAATGTCTCCTGAGGTTCCATTCAGGTACTATTGCTCATTTTTGGTAGCTTTGTATCATTCTCCAATCAGTGTTTTAAAGAAACATTTAAGTATTTGTGTTTCTCTGTGCTGCTGCTGCTTCAAAAGTTCAAGAATTCCAGGTATTCTAGGAAATGTGTAATGTTTGGCTTAGATAAGGCTAAAGCTTTAGTGTTTCTGTAAAACAATGCAAGTTAAAGATTTGCTTATGTAATAGAAAACTTAGGTATTGTTTTGTGTCTGCAAAGGTCTGCTAGGAAAAAAATAAAGCTGTAGAGGTACCTTTGTGATTACTGTGTTTTTAAATTTGGAAATGAGTAGGCTGTTTCTCATACATAACTCATGTTTGTTCTTAGAGCTTTGACTAGTATCTGTTTAGACAACTAATTTGACTAGAAAAACACAGCATGTGTGCTGAGTGTGCTATCATATTTTGGCCTGGTTTTTTTTTCTTCACTGCGAGGATTGTTTGAGGAAAAATAAATGGCAACTGTTGCTTTGACTTCTTGGTGATATAGAGCAGTAGGAATGTGCAGGACAGATGAAGAGCACTCCACTTGAGTAACTGCAGGAATTGCTGTTGATTGACACTTGAGAAAAAGCATTGGTGTAAGTTATTTTTAGCAGCTTTTGTTTTCACTCTGAAAAAGCAGCTGTTCGGCGGTATGAAATGTTGCTGAGCCTGGCGCAGTGTTCGTGTAAGACGCTGAACACCTCGGGTCTCTCCAGTGCAATCTGCACAGAGTGCAGTGGCTTGAAATTTAGTAACATGGGGTACTGAACTTTTAAAGTTTAAAAAATGTAGTAGGTTCGTAGATACTGAACAGCGTATTTGGGAGAGGGTGTGTCAGAGTGAGTAAAACAGTTTGTCTGGCAGAGCCATATGTAACTAAACCTGTTATAGCAGAAATGCCGAGCTTTTGGTTTGGGGATGGTACTAGAGAAATCTCAGCCACACTAAGTTTTGAGTGAAAACCTGGGCTGTTGTGCATCGTGTCTGCCAGGGAGGTTGTTCACGTGGATTAGAGAAAGAAATGACATAATCACAGCTTTTTATGAAGGCTGCCACCTGTTTGTAGATATCAGCATTTCCAGAGTTAAACCAGCAAGTACTTCAGCTGGCCTGCATTGCCAGGGCTGCAGGTGGGAGCTAAATTCTCACCACTAGTTTCCAGTTGTGGAAAAGCAGGAGACTCACATCTGTGCAGCTCCAGTGCCTTTAGAGTGGAAGAAACGCTGGTGCAGGTCCTCAGTGGCATTTTCAGTGCATGTCACATAACATGGCTCCAAGCAGCGCTAACACAGTGGGGAAACTTCATAAAGCTTGGTACTGTAAGTAAGGCCAGGAAAGAGATGATATGTTTGCTTTCAGGAATTAATATGTAAGTGGTTATATAAATACATTGATTCGTGGATGGTACCTGGAGGCAATAAGGGACTCAGTGCTGTCTTTTGTAAGTCTTTTCACTTGCTGTTAAGTCATTAAGATGCTGGATTTCTGTAGGCCGTATTTTTAATTACAGTCAAATGTCACTAGTTTCATTTATGTAATAGTGGGTGGACAGAGCTATGATTAAGTAGTTGCTAGAAATCTTGTTATGACTAATCTTGGTTTGGTGTTATTTTAGTTTCTTAGTCTCAGCCTTTACATTCAAGAATTTATATTTTGCTGAACAGTTAGCGTTCTGTTTAGGGGAGTTGCTTTAATACAGAAGTGAGAGGTCTAAAAAAGTTGATAAAGTATTTAGAGGATGTACTTTATTTATAAAGGTAGGCATTAGTGTTTATTTTTAAGACTAGTGACTGTAGTGATCTGATTTGTAGGGCAACGAGCCAAAAGGCAAGGAAGGCAGGAAACCTAGTTGGAGCAACTCTGAAACAGGGTTGTTGGACGTGTTTTTTTCTTGTTTAAATGACTCTGGCTGATTGGTGCTGCAGAAGCACACTACAGGCACTTCTGAGTTGGGATGAAATCTCTCACCACCTCCTTCCTGCGCTGTTCTGATTAGCCAGAGCAGACTCACCAGTTTCGGTGTCAGGTGAGCAAAGGACCCTGCGCGCAGAGAAAAGTTCTTGATCCACTGCTGAAAATGTTGAGTTCAACATTAATTTGTTAGAAGTCTAAATTACCTGTAATGAACTCTAGTGGAAAATGAAGTATCAGACCAAACAGGTTCTAGAAGCATGAGAACAGGTAGCCTCTTCGCCTGAAGAAATTTCCCAAAGAAGATGCCTTTTGCTCCTCTTGGCCTTTTGAAGGTTTTCACGTTTGTCCTTTATAAGCTGGGCCAGCGCAGCCTCCTCTGTGGTGGTGTGAGTGCTGTTCAGCAAGATATTGGAACTGATTGCTCGGGGAGCTAAAATAGCAAGTTGTCTGTATGGAGGAGGTGGAGAGAAGAGCTTTCCTTAACTCCCTGTTCTGGCTTGTTACAGAGTCAGTGAGTGCTAGTACAAGAGATAAGATGGGATCTCCTCTTTCAGCAGCTGTTAAATTGGCTAGCTGTGTTGTCATACTGCTCCCTGATTCTTTCCCACAGAAGTTTTTGAAGGGTAAATCCCTCTTGTACTTTTGAGCACAAGTATATCTGAAGCCTGTTACTACAGGGAAACGTTCAGAGATCATACTTACAAAGAATGGAATTAAATGCCTCCTTTTTGTTGTTGTTATAGCTTGGTAAAAGAGAGTGCATGCTGAAAGGAAAAAGAAAAGAAATCTCAGAGTGTGCAAGGAGCTGGCATCTTGTTTCCTTAGAAGCAGGTGTGAAAAGTAGAGTGGAAAACTGCTTGGTATGATCAGAGTTGCAGCAGATGGGATGTTATGCTAGATGTCTGTTCAGAAACATAAAATTACAATTAAAAAATGGGCATGTAGAATAAAATCCTAGATAATTTTGCACACTGAAGCAACTCTTTCATAGCTCAGGCATTTGAGGTAATGTTGTCAGGTGCTGCTATCAAGTAACTTCTTGGGCTAATGCAAAATGGAACTCCTCAAAGTTTAACAGAGAGACTTGTTGCAGATTGAGCTGCAACACACACGGTAATTTATGGTTGTGACAAAGCTCAAATTTACTTAACCTGCCTTAATTTGTGAGTCTCTAGGTAAGGCTGGTTGGTTAATGTTGAGTATTAAATAATTTTAAATAATGTGATTTAAGTGGAAGCTACCTAGTAAATTTCAGGTATGAATGCCTCAGAGTGTTTGCAGATGGGCAGCTTGTAAGCCCGCGACTAAAGCTTGTTTCCGTGAGTTTTTTTCTTCTGCAGAAGCTAAAGGATAATAGGATATTTTTAGCAGTAGCATTTGGCTCTTAGGTTGGGTTTGTGGTTTGTTTTCTGTTTGGCTTTTTTTTTTTTTAACATTAACTCCAGTTCTACACTAAAACTTCAATGAACTCCTTCAACGTGTGAAAGATTTAGTTCAGGAGGCTCGTGAGTCAAACTCAACACTAATGGCGAGATTACATGTGTAAGTGCAGTGGGGTTTCAGAGTTACTGCTGACTTGCTTTGAGCAAATCGGTGCAATGATAGAACATCTGCAAGACAGTGCAGCTTTCCTTGCATGGGAGTTTGTTTGAGAAGAGTGATGGGGACCAGTGAGTGTAAGGCTGGCTGGGCGTTACTGCTTTTGAGGAACTAGTTGCACACTTGCCTCTGGAATCTCTCGCACTGTTAAAGGATTATGCACCTCCAGTGAGAAGCCAGCATGGGAACCAGTCTGCAGTGTCAGAAACACTCTTTGCAGAGTCTGTTTTAGAAAAGAAATATGGTCCAATTGCAAGTTTTCCAACCCTTTAATTGAAACAGTAACAAATGCAGTGGTGGTGTTAATCTAATGTTTGACTCTAGATAAGCTGTGGGGAGGAGGGTGGAGAGGGAAGGAGCTGGCTGCCAGAGTTTTGAAAGAAACCTGGAACAGAACCTTGTCCTGCCCCTGTGTGAGGCTGTTCAGAATTAGATTGGTGGGGAAAGGTTCTGTGTTCCAAGTTCTCCAGTACTGGAATGTAATTTATCTATAAATCAGTTTATGAAGTGTTTGAATAGCTGATGAAAGCTTGTGAGGAGTCATTTTGCAATAGCGATAAATATTGTGAGGATTATAGTTTGTATTTGTTCCTCAAATACTCAAAAGTAACGACGTGTTGAGAAATTGTACTTTTCAAGCTTTTTTCAAACTTCACTTAGGCGAAGGGATACCATTTTCTGGAAAAGACACCAGTCTTGGAATTGTGTCAGGGGTGTCAGGAAATACTTTATAGGTTGTTTTTTTTACTTTCAGGGAGTTGGAGTAAGGTGGTCTTGATGAGTATTCAGTCAGGTGACAAGCAGATGTTAGTAGTCTTATTAAGACTTGTGGGGGGTTTTTTGTCTGAAAATTAACAAAATTTAGTAATTTGCCACTTCACAAAATGGATATTTATGTTAGGTGTGTTTCCATTGCCAGTAATCTTAAGGGTACAGTCTGTTAACTGTTTTCTTGCACAGTAGCAACTACCGACACTCGATTGTTCCTTAGATGACTGGATGTAATTAGTCTTCTTCCATAAAAAGAACATTATTTCTTGAATATTATTCAACATCCATGTGTTTTAAATGTGAACTTTCTCTTTTTACAGTGCTGTAGGTAAAACATGCCTACTCATCAGTTACACAACCAATGCATTTCCTGGAGAATATATACCCACTGTGTAAGTACTTCTAAAATCCTAATAACTTATTTATGTCAACTTCGTGCTTACTGCCATTCCAGATTCCTTATTTGAATTGTTTGGATTGGCTGCAAGCACCTCTCAGTTTCACCTTAAACGTTTGAGTATCCAGGTGTGTGTAAGAAGCAGCACTTTGGGCTTTTACTGCTCAGTATGGTGACACCAGTGCTGGTTTGTGCTCCGTCAGTTTTGCCTCTCTCTGCTCACCAGGCCTAACTTCTCAGGGACTAACATTTACCAACATTTTATCAGATGCTGCTCTCTTTTAAAATGATGTGTTATTTCTGTCTTTAATATCATTCATAATAAGCAGTCCCGAGGCTGATGGCTTGTAAAGCATCATGTCCTTGTCAGAAACAGTTGGTTTACGTGACTAGAGATTTTTTTTCTCTCTTGTTCCTTCCATTTTTGTGCTACTGCCAGTCCTGTGCTAAGCCAGCCACAGCTCTGCAGCTCCTCAGGCAAGATTGTGGGGACTCATTTATTTTGGTGCTTCCCATTTTTGTGCATGTAAGGATTTACCAGTATCAGTATTAGTGTAGTTCTCTTTTTGAGGGCCTGCTGTGGGGAGGCCTTTTATACACGAGCAGCTGCTTTGCCCCTTTCGGATGTCTCTATATTTATCTGGCTATCTTGCTCTCTGTAAGTATTGATGAGTTTTTCAGATAACAAAATAGATTCTAATGAGATTTGCAGATGACTTTAGTTACCCTTCCAAGGCCTTGTTACCTTAATTGCTCCCGTTTCCTTGTTTTGGTCTTAAATTCAGATTTTTTGCATTACAGTATACTTGTGTTCCCAGTGAACTTAGTATAGACTTAACAAGTCATTGAAACCTTTGCGCCTACAGTAGTGGTGAGATAAAAAACACGCCTCTGCTGCCCCCCCCTAATTAACTTTGATGTTTATTGGAGGGGGTTTTGATTAGCAGGATTAATAGAAATTGTTTTTGGTTTTGTGGTTTTTTTTTCTTACCTACTGTTGTCATTAAGAATTCCTTGGTTGTTGCTCATGTATCTTCTATTCTAAATCTTACAAAATGAGACAGATCAACTTGCTGAATGTCCCACTAAGATTGGCCAGTGCTTTCTAAGACCATCACCTGCTTTCCTGTACTTACTGAGATTAACGCTTCCTTTGGCAGAGCAATGAAGAAGCTGACTTTGTTCAGACTGGACCAAGTCTGGTGTGCATATTTCTTCCTTCATTACCCAGTACCAGGCTCAGTATTTAAAGAACAACTTTACTGTTTCTGGGGAGCAGAAGGATGCAATAAAAATACTTCCTTTTGTCATGTTCCCAATTAGGGCTCTGTAGGAAAAAGTCCTTGGGTGCAGTATTTTGCTGTGAGCTAACACAGCTAACTCTCTCTTTACTTTTTAGTTTCGACAACTACTCTGCTAATGTAATGGTTGATGGAAAACCGGTCAATCTGGGTTTGTGGGATACAGCTGGTCAAGAGGACTATGACAGACTACGTCCACTCTCCTATCCACAAACAGTAAGAACTACAGTGTGAAACCAGAAAGAATGTCAACAGCTTTGTCTAACAGAAGGGTTTTTTCTTTTTAAACATACAGCCAACACTGTCACATCTGGAGTTGTATTTATTAGTGACAGCTTGTTTGGTGCAAGCTACCTTCCTTCACCCTGCGTGCTGTAGCTGTAATATTATAATCTTCAGTTTGTCTCCAGTTGTACAAATGTTAAAATTTGTGTACACTGATACATGTTGACTTTTGTGTAGTTGCAGCCTGAGAATCAACTAGAACACTTCATCTAAAACAACAACAGCAACAAAAACCCAAACAAAAAACCCCAAAACAACAAACCCCAACCAAACAAAACCCCCTCTTGGTGAATAGTCCCATCAGCTAGGCCATTGATTTTAAGGTTAGCATGCCTGCCAAAAGCAGGGTTTGTTTTTGTTTTTAGGTGTGATGTTTGGCTGCAACCTGACACTGTCACTGCTAAGCACTTGATATTGTTTAGTCTCTGTGAAGATGCTCTAAATGTGAAAGGGGCAGTACTGAATGAAGATACTGTCGGCATTGACAGAGGCTGGGTTGGAGCTTTCAAATATAGATAAGCCCATGGCTGTTTTATTGCTTATGGTAGTTTGTGCTGTAACATCAATACAAAGGTGCTTCTGTCTTCCATGCTTGCAACTGGTTAACTCCTGTCTGCATGCTGCATCTCCCCTTGTGTAAGGAAAATGCTGAAGTAATCTGCTCTGCTCTTTCCAGTCCACCTTCAGCTACAGTTAATCTTTGTGGAGGCTGGTTTTCTAGTCTCTTCAGAGCAGTTACTTTTACCTGGTGGGAGCTGTGCTGTAAGTAAAGGAAGGTGGTCATTTGCAGGGGGTTTTTTTGCATTGATTACTGTTGTTAACTGTCAAATATATGTATATTCAATGCTACTGATATAAATGTGAAATTGTTCCAGTTATTCTACAGCATAACTGCTCTGTCGAATAATGTGAATCCTATTTAATGAACGCTGGTGCTTTTTAAAGTAAACTGTCTTAATTCACAATTTCCCTTAATTCATTGGTCACTAACTCCTACAATTAGGCTTTCCTATCGGTTACGATACCCAGGATGGATATGGACTTGCCAGTTCTAGGCAACTCTAGTAGAAATATCTCCCTTTTCTAGGAAGAGGAACAATGGAAAGCTGTTTTTCACTAATATTTAGATATTATAGGGTACTTAGGAGAACTTAAGCTTTGTTTAACGTCATAAAAATATTTTAAAAAATGTATCTCAGGGTAGAAAAAGGTATGTTGAAAGATGACTCAATAGTGTGAGAGAGCAGGGTTGTAAGGGTTGTCATCATTTGTCTCCTGTGACAAAGGGACAAATGCATGTGCATGTCTTCAGCCTGCTAAAATAACTGTGGCTTTCTGACAGACTGCAGAAGAATTCCACATTGATCTGAGCATACTTTAGGTTAAAAAAACACATCTTCTGTGCAAGCATGTGTAAGTGTTAAGTAAAGGTTTGAAGTACTTCCAGTTATTTGGATTGTTTCTTACAGCAGAAAATGAAACAGGGTGGTAAGTCTTGAACTTCTTATGAAGCAGTCTTCAGGTTTTAGATTTGTGCAATATGTAAAATTATCACTTAAGGGACAAAAAACCCATGAAATTGACAAAAAAACACAGAGGAAGAGAACAGTGGTGCTGATGAAGTCTGACTTTTTTGAGGATCTGCATTCAGCCTCCCCCTCCCTTCCCTGTGCTATTTACAGCTCGCCCCTCACATGTTCTCGTGGCTCTGTTTCCCTGTGTGTGCACCTGAACTACATCTGGGGAAAGGTGAAAGCAGGTGTTGCTGGTTACTTGGCCAGCCAGCAGTTCCACAGCTGTGAACTCCACAGTAAGAACCTTGCCCTAGTGGAGGCATTAATTTGTATCTTTTCCCCTTATTTATATTTTTTACTTTTTTCCTTAAAATATACAGGAATTTAATACCTTCTCCTGAATGCATATGAAGTCTATCAGTATTTCAAAATATTTGGAGAAGGAAGAAGTTGAGCCAGAAAAGGTTTCCTAAGGAGACCAAGCCAAAAAGAAAACTAAGTTAGGAGGATGATTTTCACAAGACTCGCTCTTGCACATCTCCTCTGACAATGCAGCCAGCCACTTCCAGGGTTTGGGAAGTCTGGGGGTCTGTTCTGGGTGCAGGTAGCTGGTTGTGCTGAATTACAGGGCAGCGTCTCTCTTAAGAAGAAAAGCCACGTTGTGAGTATTTGTGAGCACAAAGCACTGACTGAGAGAACGTTTTCCCTTAAATCCATTTGAGGAGTAACTTTATCTCCTACTGTTATTAGGTTGGAGGAACCAATGGTAAGAATATATCTTCCAGTCTGACAGATCAACCTATTGCCGTATGTAAAACTTTAAATCAACTTCAGTTCCAAGTTCTGTCATCTTGTCTTGCTTACCACGGTGATAAATTGGCCCCTATTTTTTTTAAACAAATACTTTTCTTGGAACTATTGAATTGCTGGATTTGAGAACTGTTACCAGATTTCTTCATATGAATTGCTAAGAGTAAACCTTTCCTTGCAAAGAGCTTTTCCTCCTATTTATTAAGACCAGTAGTGTGCAAGACGCCTGAAACCTTAAAGTAATTTCTCATTGTTATGCTGTTTTGGTTTTTTTTTTTTTTAATCTCTGGAGCTAGTAAAGGAGAGAGTCTGTGTAATGTGCAGAACTTCAATCACCACAAACCCACAGAATTGGAAAACAGAAGTAGTGGCCATAGTATCACATTATTTGATGTTGTTTCTTTCTTCTTCTGGGACGCTGCTGTGGAAACTTGTTGGGGTGATGCATGAACAACTGGGTTGCAAGTGCTTAGCAGTGCAGATGTCAGATGCTGACCTAACAAAATGCCTTGAAATGCAGCACAATCAACTAACAATCTGAAATGCCTGATTCTTTAACACATTTGATACCGGAATAAGTACGGATGCAGAGGTAGGTTGGGGAAAGCTGGGCTTGTTTGGGAGATGTTTATTGAGTTTTGGGTCAGACAGCAGGATTATAATCTTCATCTGTTTGGAGAGAGGAAGTTAATTTTGTAGTTATTCTGAATGTTTGTAGACTACAGTGTGTCATGTCATGTATGAAGCTCGTTGTTTGTTTGAAGTGTATACTGTATGGTAGCTAGTGTAAGCCTTTGCTCTAAAATGTTTTTACCTGCTTTTATTTATCATCTTTATTTTGCTTTCAGTTGAAAAGGGAGATGTGTACAATCCCTGAAAACACCCACTTTTTCTCTCTGCTTTCTCATAATTTAGAAAGGGAAGGAGGGAGCTAGTGTAATTCTTAAGGTTTTTAATATCCTTCTCAATCCTAATTCAATTATAGGGAAATTCTGAAATTTTTTTGTCCTGACATTCAGTAGAAGTGACAGTTCTACAGGGTTCTTCTGATTTGAGCATGGAAGTAGCACTTGTGGAAATGGGCATTGTATGATTTCCATCCCATACTGTACACTTTGCCTTTGCAATTTAAAACTACTTTAGAGTAGTATGTTAATAGTATATTGATATCTAAAAAATTGAGTCAACAGTAACATGTTGCAACATCCTCTGCTGATGAATTATGTGTCTTTCAAGGCTTAAATCACTTGTAAGTCTATGAAGAGCACCCAACCCCCAGTTCAGAAGCCAGTCTGACAGCTCTTCATTGCCTCCTGTTTGTCAAGGATCTCAAGTGTGGTTTTGTTTTCTCGTTTTATTTCCCCAAAAGTCAGTGAGGGAGAAGATAGGACATTAAGGGGGAGAAAAAACTGGTGGTGCAACAGCATTTGTGGTTTAGTTGCTGGCTACTGCAGTAGCTGGTTATGAACTCGATTACGATCCGTTTGTTGTTGGGTCCTTCCCCTGCTCCCTGTGCATCTGCTTGTAGCTGGGAATGATTTCCCACTGGGAAAGCTCCCTCGTTGTCACGTGCAGCTGTGTCATCAGCCTTGCCTTTGACAGTGTGATAGGGACACTGGTGATCTTGGCCTTTGAATTCAGAGTGATGGGATTTTTACAATGGTTGCTGTGCTGCGCTAACTTCTATCAACTTGTTTTGTAGGATGTCTTCTTAATCTGCTTTTCCCTTGTGAGTCCTGCTTCCTTTGAAAATGTTCGTGCTAAGGTAAGTACAAGCTGGTATCTGCTCACTTCACAGCAGCGTCTGGAAAATATTAGGTGGTTTTTTTTATTTTTTATTTGTCAGGCAATGTGAAATGTAGTTTGAAGAAGCAGAAATCCATTTGCCTGACTTCCAAGCCATGGAAGTTCAGGGCTCATAAAACACTCTAAGTATGAATCATTCCTTGATGCTGTGACAGGATAACAGTAGTTTAAAGAGTTTTCAGCCAACAAGGTGCTAAGATCAAGAACAGGAACTTTCCTTTTAATGCAGTTTAAAGAAAAATAGTACAAACCAAATGCATGTAAGAACTAGGCTGGTACCACTCGTTTCTTGCATCAGCCAGTGTTCTAGCACGTGCTCTGCTACTGTTGTGTCCTTGGACAACTCAGCTGTATGGCATTGTGGAGACTTCACAAATGAGAGGTGGTCTCCATGGGTGGGGGAGTGCACATCAGAGGTTTTCTGGTGTATGGGAAAAATACAGCCCATAACAGGGCACATGTTTAAAGTCTATGGAAACACCTGTTGGCTTCACTAAAAATGTGCAATTGTACACTCGCTCTTAATGCTGCCTGAACAGGGTCTGATGTTCTCCCTTTACTCTTTGACTGACTCTGGGCAGTGTCATGAGGGACACAGCCCTTTGGTGGTGATGTTCGAGAGCCTTTGTGGAAATCTGACCCCACACACAACCTACTCTGTTTTTTCAGTGGTATCCTGAGGTGCGGCACCATTGCCCCAACACCCCCATCATTTTAGTGGGGACCAAACTCGATCTCCGGGATGACAAGGACACTATTGAAAAACTGAAGGAGAAGAAGCTGACTCCTATCACCTACCCACAGGGCCTTGCCATGGCAAAAGAGATTGGTATGACTGCAGCGGGCTCACTGCTGACCTGATCTAAATTTTGTTTGTGGCAGATGCTGTGCCTTTATTAAAATAAATGCCTGGCTCTTCTTGCGGAGTTAGCTAGAAGCAGGGCTGCTCTCGCTGTGGAGAACTGCTTTGTAATTGCCTTTTCACTTTCCCCAGGTGCAGTGAAATACCTAGAATGCTCAGCACTTACACAGCGAGGCCTCAAGACAGTGTTTGATGAAGCCATTCGAGCAGTTCTGTGCCCCCCTCCTGTAAAGAAGAGGAAGAGAAAATGTCTGCTGCTGTAAACCTTACCCTCCCCCACCCCACTCCAACCCCTGTGCTGTGCTCAGAACAATGGAGCATTCACACTCAATGCCAAGTTTTTCTGTTATAAATTAGTTCTCTTCCATAAATTCTTGAACCAATCAACAATTTCATGGTTTAATTTGTTTGAAGTATGAAAGTTACCTTGCATTCTTCTAAAAGCAAACTCCTGAAAAGACAAACCTATGTAAAGCCTTATTTTTAAAATCCTATTCTTGCTCAATTAAGTGTTGCCAAACTATCTGCTGAACTAAGTTGCATTGTTGTGCTACGAACACTAAGCACTAAACCGTTTTTTAAAGATTCTTCTTGAAGATTCCTCTACTTTCTGGTAGGAAATTCAAAACACTTTCTAGTTTTTCACAGTCAGTAACTGTACGGTGTAATTAGCAAAGCACTGCACTCTCATGTGTTTTACTGTTCGGTGTTTTCTCACCCCCTGTCAGGGCGTAGTGTTGTGTATCAAACCTAAATCTGACAATGACTGACACCCTCGAGTCACAGTGTAAAATGCTTTATCGTGGGTAAGGGCTTGGTTGCAATCTAGTTCTTGCTGCTGTGATTTAAAAATAAATAACTATTCTTACTGAAGTGTATCTAGTCCTTCTGCCAGCAGTGTATTGTGATGGAGAGAGGAAGCACTGGGGTGCATCAGAGGACAGGGCCAGACAGTATTTTGAGGCTGTAGAGATGAGTTACACTACACTGCCAGGGCAGCTGAAACTGAGCTGACTTTTGGTGCAGGTTAAAATCAGTGCCCATGTTCCCAGAGGTGCAGTAGTGGAAGAGAGGTTGGTGTTCACAGGTGAATTCCTTTGAATTTCAAGTAGGGCATTCCTTGAGGTACAATTCTGAACCAGTCATTCCCACAACTGTTGTGTAGTAAATGCTTTTTTTTGTAGAATCTCTTCTTCCTGAGCAATATAACTTGTATTTTAAAACCTTTCTGATAATAGAAACTTTTTTTTTCTTTTTTTTAGAGTACAATGTAGAAGCATATCCTGCTTACTTTCCTCTTATTTCTGACCCAGTAAGTTATGCTTTCTGAGGAGCTTTTAGTCTATTAACTAGGTGTAAAAATCATGTGAAGCAGCTTTACACATTTTAGTAATTTTTATATTTTAAACCTCTATAAACTATGGACCTTCTGAACTATCATAACTTGCCAGATCTCACCACCACTGTAACATGACTAATGCAGACAAGTGTTCTTTATGTCACTACATATATGTGTGCAGCATCGATGGAGTAATGGTAACTTGGGTCTGTGAGGTTCTGTAAATTAGTGCTAATGTTCTGTACATCCTAAACTGGCAGGAACACGATGTTGAACTAGACCTTTTCAACCACTAAAGCAAAATTTAAAAAGTTGCAAAATTGTGAAGTTTTTACATTGATCTTTTGCTAATGCAATTAGCAGTATGTTTTGCATGTATGACTTAATAAATCCTTGAATCACATGTGTGGTGATGTTTGAGTTTCTGAGCAAGTGTTCTTGACTGCCAGCAGCAGCGTGATGGACTTGTCCCCTGGGGGCTGTGTGCGCTCACCACAGGCTCTTTCCATGGTGCCCTGATCCTAAGAACCAGCATTAAATACAGGACTTGGCAATGTTTCTGCAGAGGCCTCCTGTTATCATTTGAGTTGTTACTGGTTCCTGCTCCTGCTTACACATTGTTTTAAAGCTACTACCAACCAAAGGGGGGGGATAATTCCCTGTTCTGCTCTACTGCGTGCAAACAAGAGCGCTTACGTATTTTCCTCTAAAACTGTTACCTTAACAGTTTGTAAAATAATGGCTCTGGTACAGTACAGTTCGTGCTTAAATGCCTCAGATTTCAGCCTTTTAACCTTGCAGCTGTACAACATGCGTGGCAGCTCCCCTCGCTCCTGGGCAGCAGCACACAGGCACTACCCTGTACTCTTCCCCAGGAGGTGGTGGGTGAAATCAGCCCCCTGGCTCCTTGCTGAGCCTGTCTCGTGCAGTGGCGCCTTCCCCAGCTGCACACACCCAGCTCTTGAACAGTTACAAACTAGTAACTGTCATCTCACACCCAGCCCTACCTCAGCATCATAAGACAGGTTTTTAGAGTGCATTTTATTTTGTCTCCAGCTTGAATATCACAGCAAGAACATCCAGGCATCTCAACCACATCATATTATTTTTTTACTTATTTCTGTTAATTTTTTTTTAAATAAGAAATGCTGCTGAGCCTTAAAAAGAAAAAAAAGTTAAAATAGTTGCACACTAGAAACAAGGAATCACACTTAAAAAAAATCAGTACAATGGGTTATGCTTTTTTTTTTTTTTGGCAGGATTAGATCAGTGCTCTCAGTAGTCGGAGCTAATGCCTAAGATGGTAGGGCAAGAACAATTTCCTTGTTAAGTTATTACAGTATTAGTTTAGTTTAAAATCAATAAAAGTGGTCATATGGATGAACAAATACAAAAGACAGATTAAAGAATATTGCACGTGTATATCTAAGCAGCATTTAACCACATCACTCCCCTGCCCCACCAGGATCCTACCACAGTCTGTAAGAAAAATAGTGCAATCAATCAGAACCACCTGGTGTAAGAGCAGGGGGGGGCTCTGCCTGCACCCACCCACCTGCCACTGACCTGGTCACTCCTCAGCCTCCAGCTGCCGAGCAGGCGCAGCCCTCGCGCGCCCCGGGATCGCTCTCAGCCCTGCTGTGGTCAAGTCCTCAGCTCCTCGGCTCCCCAGTGCCAGCGTGCGGGGGCTCAGCTAGACCGTGTCACACCGCTCCGTTTGTAAAAGCTCAACCTTCAGCATCAATGCAGAATCTGTGCTTTAACCAGCATAATGTCACTTGAGGTCGCTGCAGAGGCAAGGGCATTAAGACCCTTGTTTATTTTATGCAATGTGAGAAAAGTACCGAAATCCACTTAGGTATGAAAGTGGAATGTGTCCCAAATACTTGAAACCTGAAATAAAAACCCCCTGCACCTCTCCACGCTGTGGTTATACGACGTTGGTGCTTCATTCTTGTGTTTGACAAGAAATGCACGATCCACGTTCCTGAGACAAACTATTCAGAGCTTTGAGCACAACATCTGGCATGTGGTCTGTTACCATCTTGGGACTTATTAAAATGCTGCTGAAGACTGTTTCATGTGACCATCTTGCCGTATATTTAATATCTGACGAGCACAACCTAAAAAACAAAAACCAAACATCACAAATACAACAGCTCAGACTGTCAGAATTGGTGCTCAATGCCAAGCCTGGAACAGACAACTTGGAGACCTTGCTGAGGGAGGAACTGGAACCTTCCTCCGGCAGGAAGATTGGCTCCCACAGAGCTGCAGTTCTGACCTGGAAACGCCGACATTCGACGTCCCTGAAGGTAGAACTGTGCCAAATCAGACTGCCCCTTAACAGTGAAAGAAGTTAACAAATAGTCCTGCTCAAAAACTATGGAACTCTGATCACGTCAGATTGAGGGAGTAAGTCACCGTGGTACCAGTAGGAGATGAGACACCAGCTGGAATGCTGCACAGATGTGGTATTTAGGATTTTATTGTACAGAACGGTACGTGATGGGGGCTCTTGTGTGCTAGTCTAATTAGGGAAAAAACATGATTAACTGCTGTGCTATGAAGTAAATGAAGGAAAAGAAATTAGCTCAGTTAAGTAGAATAGCAGTCATTGAGAAAACCTGCCAGGTATCTAACTTGTAAAATCAATATTAAAATTGTTAAAGATATGAAGCTTAAATAAAATACTAATCGACTGAATACGAGGGGAAAAAAGTGGATTTTTTTTCTCCAGCCCTTTTCTTCCCTCTTCTGTTAGTTACAGGTTTTTTTTTCTTCTGCAAGATGGACTTGTGCAAGTTACAGATGCTCTGAAACAAGGGAGGGTACCAAGTACTGTCTTACCTGTGGCCTGTTTTGTCTTAGAAAACCAACATCAACAAAACACAAACAAACCAACCAACCAACCCACCCATCTAAACACAACCCTGCCCCAACAAAGCCACAGTCCTCAGCCTTCCAGCAGTTTCAGCTTTTCTGTTGTCTTTGTCTCACTTTCCTGCATCCACAAAAAATCAGCAAGAGACAGTAAACTGGCGGCTGCTCGGGCACACTGGCCAGGCTGGCACTACGGGCAGTATTTTGCCTCTTTCTCGTCACCAATATTCACAGGACTACTCAATAACGAGGTATTTTGTTATCACTTCACCACTACCTGCACATAAGACTGCAAGATCTGCAGTCCCAGGTAAGAACTGCAGCGTGCCACAGCTCAGCCTCACAGTCTTACTGTTTAAAATCGTCCCTTGAGCACGTGCAATACGTGGGCAGAGTAAGGCACACAGGCTTTGTGAAGCAAATGGTTTCCAGGGCTTTATGTGAAACAGCACGAAGCAGCGAGGCACAGAATGAAAACTGAAAAGCTGGCTAATGAGCAGTAACCAAAGGTGGGTATTGGAGATGCAGATGAGAAGCAGAGCTGGAAATAGAGCTGGAAAACAGGTACTTGGAAAGTGAGAAGCAGCTTTAAGTAGATTTTAGGAAAACAAGAAAGTGGTATTTGTTATCCTACTTACCTCTGAGAGCTGGATTCTTCTACAATATGGATAATCTTTCCAGGAAGATAAAGATGAGGATACCGAGGCGGTGAATTTAAGTGCGATTCTTCCTCAAGGGCATTGTATGAAGGTGACCGATGAACCATTAAACTCTCCTCAGCCAGAAGTGGCTGCGTGAGGGCACCTTCGTCTCTACCATCCAGCTCAGTCGGGAAGTTATCTGGATCTCCTCCAAATACTTCGTACCAACACCCACGCAGCAGAATCTGGTACTGAATCCAGAAAGAAAAACAGGCAAATTGAGGTTTGGCATCTCTTCAAGTCACTTATTCTATTGTGTGCTTGCACGCACATCATCTGAAACTACAATTAGAAGATTAAAAATGCACATGCTCCCCAAGCTGCTTGTTTGATAAAAATCTCCTTACCCATTTTTCACCCCAGTAATACATATTTCACCGATTTCTAACCCAAGCTGCTAGTAACACTACAGAAGACATTCCAGCCTTTACCAGTTGAATTTTCCTGTGTGGATTGTGCTCCTCAGATTTACGTTTTCTTGCACCTGTAACTTCTAACTGTCTATTATCTTACTCTGTATTTACAACATCACCCAGGCCCTCTACGTAACTCCTGATCCTGGGACTACACGGAAATCTTGTGAGTACAGCAGATTTAACTTCAAATGTTCAGAAATGGCAGTTCTGAATCTTTAAGCCACTCCTCTCTACCTCCAGTACCATCTTGCCTGACACTACACTGCTCCAACACTTTCAAAGCCACGTTTCTAACTAACAGTAAAAAGGGGAGGTAAGCAATTAACACCATAACAGAGAAATATTTACTTTCCAAATGAATTCTGAATGTAAAATTTAAATAAAATCACTAATTTGTTTACTTACTGATAGTAAATTGTTATTAAAGTAAGTAATCTTACTGTGTGGGGGTTTGTTTTGTTTTTAATAGTTTCCTTTACCAGCAAGACTAGCAAACAGATTATTTCAGGTCTTGGATGTTGTGCACAGATATCTTTCAGGTCTTGTTGAACCTTAATTTCCAGCAAGACATCTTTATAGGGCAAGAGACTAACACAAGTGTCGCTGAATTAAAAACAAATACTTGTTCCACAGCACAACTGTAACTCTGATCATTAAGATCAGAATACACACGGCAATTGTTGCTTCAGTAAAGCTGGGGCTTAACCCAGCTAACAATTCCACCGACTTAACCAGGAACTGCGCGTAGTTACCTTGGGTCTGTTGCAGTTTGCCACAATTCTCACTATCCTTCTCTTCAGATCCTCCATGTTGGGCATACTTAACCTGTTTAAACACACACGGAACAAAGTCAAGAAAAGGCCCCTATTTTCTGCAATCTAACACATCCCTGAAAGAGCAATTTAAGAATATTTGCATCTCACCTTGCAACAAGGTCCTTTCCAACAATGACTGAAACAATGAAGTGCTTAGTGTAATCTGCAAGTGATTTGCTTAAGGGAAAAAAAAAGATGTCCTTTAGATACACTGAAGAGACAGGCACACTCGAGTCTTCTAACGATCATTATCATTCAATAAAAATACAAATCAGTGCAACAGCAGCAGCATTTGCAGTCAGTTCTCCCACAGGCTTTCAGACCTACTTGCTACAGATGATGAGTAACTTCACTGCTGATTCTAACAGTATGTGTAGACAACAGGCCAAGCTACACTAGTCAGGTGAGCATTTTATTTCCAAAACATTGAAACTCTAATTATAATTATACTATCTGACAGAATTAACTATATTTCATTCTGTAATACTCCCCCAAGAGGCTGACTGTAACATGAGATGGACTGTAACTAGTGGAGAATGTACAAACTCTTAACACAATCAAGGCCAGAGTTATTATCTAAAATATTTGTCAACTACCTTGAAGATTTTTTCATCTTCGACACAGAACAAAATAACAGAAATCTCCTATTTACCTTAAGAGTCCTCCGGGAGGAGAAAAGGCGTAACATCTTAATGTTGGGAAAGAACATGACTGCCAAGATAGAAGCTGTTCCACCACCCAAACTGTGACCAACTATCACAAGTTTATATTCCTACAGACAGGAAGAGAAAACTGAAATCCTGACAGACACAGAAAATGCTTTATGTAATCTTTCTGGCAAACCAAGTTATTTGGAAGGAAACTTACTGGAGCAATTGTGAAAGCCTGGTTTAAAATTCCATCATTGATTAGCTTTCGATAGATGTAATTTGCAGCTTGAGTTATTCCCTACAAGACAGTATTTAAAGTTAGAAGACGAGGGTGTATCTCCTCTGAAGTGTGATACATGTATACATCAAACACAGCACCATCCCAGAACAACTCTTTTTGCAAAGCTGGTCTTCTCTTTTAACACGCTCCTGACAGAGGTCTTGTTATGACCAAGTGGTCTTGTACATAAAGGTTAAAAAATTTCTGGAATATTTAATAAGGACAAAGTCTCACAAGAGGATTACAAATTCCACCTTGCAGCTCCACAGGCAGCATTTGATGCAACAACCAAGTCACTGAAATAATTTGCACAATCCATCTCCCAAGGACAATACCCTTCTGAGCTAACGGACCTCAGATGTTTATAGTTTTCTTACTGCTGAGATGATTTATGAACAGCTACACGCTGCACGCACCTTATGCACAAAGCCATTCTCTATAACATCCTCCAGTGTCAAGTCTTCACAATCTGCTGACAGATCAGTGAGAATGTCCTGTAAACGAGACAGCTTCTGTCAGACCTCTCTGCAGGGCTCCACGCCTCATGAGTTGAACTCTTCTACTCAACATTGTCGCGGGGACATCAACAAGCTGACTTCCAAGTGTGCAAGCAACAAAACACAAACCACCACACCAAAGCAAATAAATGTACAGAGCAATCACAGTTCTGATGTCAGCAACTACTTCCAAGCTGCACACACAGACATTGCGAATGCACCTCCATGCTCAGTGCAAAGGAATTACCGCTGCCCACCCTCACACTCACTTCCAGTGGCACAGGGAACAAACACCACCCATCCGAGGACAAGAGGGCTTACAATTTAAACCTGAGAGACTCATACCTGTGAGTGAGTTACTTTTACATGCACTAGTGTAACACAATTTCCTCTACATACCCGGAGTTCACCCATTTCTATAAAGCTAATTATTTATACCAGATGGATGATACCTCAAAAGACAAGGTTCCTCTCACTGCAACCACAATAGCTTCTTTTTTGTGATCCAAAGCAACAAAAAATGGAATCTCATAGATCTGGAGGGGGAAAATGTAATCAGTAAAGACATCAACTTTTCATAAGAGTAAGCATTTGTTCTCACCTTCTGAAAGATCTCTTATTGAGCTCTCTATTGGATTATGGAAAAGAAGTTAAATTATTTCCTTATCAAGTTATTATAAGTGCCTTTTTTCAATACTGAGGTCTGTGTCAATGGTTTTGTGGCTATTCCTTTAGAAAAAAAAAAATCAGAGCAGAATGTTTCAGGGCCTGTTTTAATTTTGCTTTGCATCTCACACTTTATAACTGCTGAAGGCAAACTAGAAACTTCACCCCTTGCTTTCACTGAATTAATCACTCAGTTTTTTCGCCGAATGCCTGTCCAGATTGTTTACCTTGTTATGAAAACTGATATGAATGAAGTCTCTGTACTGCAGTCCTGTTATTTTTAGGATGGATCCAAAGTGAAAGTTATGACGATCACTGCCAGTTATATCAGAATCTGTTGGTCTATTTCCGCAACTAACAAACACAGAAGAGAAAAACTTTCATGTTCCAATTTTTTATGTTTCCTTTCAAGGAATCAAACTTAGTTACATTTGCAGAAGGAATTCTGCCAGGAACCAAAGGCTTTTTCTTTTTTCCCCTCTCAATAGTACCAGGAGTCTGATACAAGATGTTACCTCACAAAACCACAAGCCTGGTTCTGCCTGAGCAGCATGCCGTACATTTTCAGTGTAAGGACTGGCAGATGCACCATCACCACAGGACTATCAGCAGAGCAAACAATGCAGTAAGAAGAGAATTCTTAAGACTACGGGCCAATGACAGAAAATATAAATAAGCAAAAAGGAAATTCAAAACAAATTTTGTACAGCAGGCTTATCTCATGTTTTATCCACTGCATTATGTGATAATTTTTTTCTAAGTTGTTTATATTTTAGTGGGTTGTATTTATATTTCATGTTACTAATTAAGAAAATAATGGTTACAGTCACAAATGTCAGTGGTCACTTAAATACACAGTAATCCCACGCAGCATTATGCATACTTCAATACTGACTGTAAACAGTTTTTTGAGTAAAGGGGGCAAAGGGAATAAAATGGAGGCTGGAGGGACAGGTAACTTTTGCTAATTCCTTTACAAATACACTTTTATGTCTAAACATACATATGTGCCCAAAAGGCATCTCTAAAAAGCCACATTTCAAAACAGGTTTGGTTTTATTCCAATCATTCCTTTGTCATTTTGCTAAATTAATTTTATTTATCTCAATCACAAAGTTTTCTTAAGAAAAAAAACCCTAATCTGTTTCTGAGGGTGGAAAGACTTTGGAATTTTGTTTCTACTGAATCTGTGAAAGATAACTCTACCAGTCAAGCTCATGTACTCCCAAGAGTGGTACCATCTAATGCAACAAAAATACTGCCACTGAAACGATTTTATTTCTGCTAACACTAGTTAAATAACAGGAAGTTACGTGTTTTTAAGCTCTTGATCAAACCTACCAGTCACCATTGAGCTTACAGAGCGCAGTAAATGGGTTGGTGTATATGTAGTAGGGCCAGCCATAAGCAGCTGCAGCAAACAGCATATAGTGAGCAGCATTCTCCAGTTCAATATCCAAATCATCTGTCTGAACGGACACGGGGAAAGAAAAGGAAAGAGAGAGAGGAAGAAAGGTGTGTTAGGCAGCCCCAGAATACAAACTGAACACTGACCAGTGAAAATCAAGGCGTGATGAAATACACACTCTCCAAAAGGAAAACCTCAAGGTCTAAAAAAACTAAAAGTAGCCACTCATATTCCAGGAAAAAGCCTGTGTTTATTTACACAGCTGAAGAACCTTGGAAAGCTCTCATTAAATCAGTTTCTTTCAATACTTATACACTGATAAGCTCCATACTGAAAATAACATTCACTCCATATGTTACTTAAGGACATCAAAGTCCTTAAGTAGCAGATCTCTCTAGTAAGGATTTTTAAAGTATGACCCCATCATACTGCCTGGATTCAAAAGGAAGTTGATAGAAATGCATTGGTTGAAGTGGAATTAGATACTTGTATGAAACACAGACCAAAATAAGGTAAAATAATTTACAAAGGCATTTTACTATAGAAGACTAGCAGAAGTTGATTAGCAAAGTGTAACCCATCTGCAAGCATTTCAAATGTGCTATTTTTGCTTCTTACCTTGTCTGGATATTTGCAGCAGACATAATTTAAATGGACCACAATACTAAAACACTAGCTTCTCAGTTCTGTGCAAATAGTACTAAATGTTAATTTTCTCTCTGTTCCCTTTCTCTCTCAGCATTTCAATAATGATCCAGCGCCCTAAATGGTTCCTTGTTGCACTGAATTCCCCACTCGTATATAAGTTCTACTTATGCAAAAGCAGACAAATGTTTTGACTGCAAAATCATCTGTTTGCAGTCAAATGTTTTCACTGCATTTATTAATAATTAAATTGTTGTGAATTTTTATAGTAGTGTTTAACTTTATTAAAAAAACCCAAAACAAAAAACCCTCTTACACAAAGAACTGCATTTCAGTTTGATCTGGCACCATCTCCTAGAGTCACTGCACCAGAGGCTGCAACAACCCTATCTTACCACGAGAGATGATGGAGAATGACACAGGACTTCTTCAGGGTCTTTTGGGCAATTTTCCATTTTATCTTGCTCTTGATGGAGCAGAGTCAAACCAGCTGCTATGTCACTTGGCACCAGATCAGTGTCCTGTACAAAGAAATGAAAGAGCACTTAAAACCATCCCACACCTCAACATGGCAAAACTATCCCCCATGAGAAAACGCACACAGAATTGTACTTGTCCAGTTCATATAAATCCATTTCACTCAGAGACAATGTGCGTTGGAGAAACAGGTCACAGCAACATCTAACCTCCCTCCCCTTCTGTACACACATTGAAAGTTTCCTTCAATAAGACTGATTACAATTCTGCACATGAATTTCACTTAACAAAATACCCGCTCAGCCATACAGCAAATAATGATCCAGACGTTATTGATCACTGTTCTGCACCACGATGTGAAAAGTCCTCCATACTGAGAACAACTAAGAAGGATTTCACACAGGAGAAGGCTGAAGGATTTTTATTCAGCTATCTGGGGCAGCCGTCTCTCCACATGACTTCCACCCTTTACCCTATAAACCACCAAGCAGGCTGGAGCTATAAATCAGCGTGCCCGAGAACCGCTTAATAAACAAGAACTACTAGTCTTGAAATCATGAACAGATTCCAAGGTTAACACTGAACTATGACTGCCCAAGTGGCAGGTGACATAAATTTGAGCTAAATCCAATGCTCTGAAGACTCTGATTTGGCAGATGCTCTGCACTGCCAAAAAGCAACTTCCTGCATGTGCACTCTCTAGTCTGGTACGTGCTCAGAAACGGCTCCGAAGGGGCAAGTCGCCTTAACATACTGTGGGGCTCTTTTTTTCAACAGTCAGAAAGCAGTGGGCATGACTCCTTCCTCATCATCAGGAGGAAAAATGCCTGAATCTTCACATACCAAGGAAAAGAAACTAACCCTTGTTTTCCTGGCTAGACACTCACCTAAGGAGAAAAGATTCTGTTTTCCCACAGCCCTTCATGCTTGTGAAGGGAGAGAAAAGCTTTGTTAAAGGAGGGAAAACTCAGTGTTGTGTATCTTGTATGAGAATCACCTCTAATTTTGAAACTGGCATATTCAAAACCTGACAGCAGGGACTTCTGGCTGAACAAAAGCACAAGTGTTGTGACATCTGCAGACTCAAAGAGTTATTAAAACAGACCATAAGAAGCTGTCCATCTTACTGAAAAGAAGTTGCGGAAAAGCTCTGCGATACTTGTAAAAGCCACTCGATGGTCATCATCTTGCACAATGCAACAACACAGCAACCTGATTCTTGTTTCCCAGACTCTGGTGGCAGTGTTCTTCACATTATACAGCAACTGCCCTGACTGGCTGCTTTCCAGGTTGCGATTTACACTATCCGTGAGGTAAAACGTCTTTTTCCCCCCAAGCGGATCAAAGACGACTACAACTCCAACGATGGTAAAGATGATGATAACCCAGCTGTAAAACAGAAGCGGGACAAAGCGACCGTGAAACCAGATACTGCTGACAAGCATGCAAGAAAACTCAACTACAGATCTTGACAGACAGAAAGCAAAATGTCCTGGTTTTGCTAGGATAGAGTTAGTTTTTAGTAATTAGAAGAGTAGTATTTTACTTTCAGTGTTTCAGTTCAGACTTATCATGAGAAGAATGTTGATAAAATACCAATGTTTTTAGTTACTGCAGCTCAAGGCCACACTGTTTGTTTCACAGCTGCACCAGGACTGGGAGGGGGAAGCACAGTGAGGAGCAAAACCCCAAACTGGCATCTGGTTGTGCCAATGAAATATTCCAGATCATATCACGTCATGCCAGTATATTAACCAGGGTTGACCGGAAGACGGTACGCATTCTCTCGGGGATCGCTCGGGATCATTCTTCCGGGGTTTCGGTTCGGGACCGTCTCGGCTGCGGGATCGTTAGCTGGCACAGGCCGGGCATTGGTCAGCGGGCGGTGAGCACTGTGTATCACTCATTTGTATAGTCTGTTATCACTGTTGTTATCATTATCATTTTCTTTTAATTAGTAAATAGTTTTTATCTCAACCCGTGAGTCCTTGCCCTTCTTTCCAAATTCTCTCCCCTGCTCCCTGGGTGAGGGGGGGGAGGGTGATAGAGCAGGCTGTGTTTGGCTGCAAGCTGCAAGCAAAAGGGTGAATCCACCCAAACCACCACACAAAGCAAGGTATGAAATACTGTATGAACACCATCTGTTTCTGTCTTAAGGGTGCATCTTTCGTTATTGGGCTTTCAATCCATTAAACACAAGAACAAGGTTGTCAGCTCATTTCACATTGGGCACCGAACTCAAAATCACAGCCCTTTGGAAACAGCAACCCAGGGCTGAGAAGGCTCCGTTTTTCACTACCAGTTAAATCCTCTAGTTGCTGCCCTCTTCACATTTACCCAGTTTTCTACATTCTCATCTATCCCTCTTACCCATTCTGATCCTTACCTCCTGTCCTTCACTCGAGCATGTGCTCTCTCAAGGCAAGTAGCTCAGGCTTGTTAAGGGAAGGATACCAACTCACTCTATCTGTCTAGATTTAAAAACTATTCTCCTTTCACAACAAAAACTCTTCTATGAGAAACCACAATAATTTGTAGAGAAATATCAAAGTCTCCAACTGCTAGAAAAGCCTTCAATAAACACGTAGAAGCACTACATAAGCAGTGTTTTTCCATTTCACGTACACTATCAAGCTCAGGTCTGGGGGAGGCACCTTTACCTTGCAATAACTGTGCCAGTGAGGCCATTTATCACAGTCTTCTCACAGCGCACGCTGCTGTCCGACACCCACACAGCTCCTACAACAGCCCAGATGAATTCAGGCAAATAGAGAAGGAGGCGAGTATAAAGCAGCTTGGGAAGGGATTTCCTTGGGCCCGGATTAGAAATTGTTCCTGAAATTGCAGGGAGAATTTAAAACAAGAACTGTTTATGAATGCATCTTAAGTACATAAAATCCTACCCGGATATATGAACTTTCTGAGCTTTATAGTTTCAATTAAGTTTCTTACTTTCTGTAAAGTATTTTCAAACTAATGGAAAGCTACCACTGAAGCTGAGAAACTAAAATCAACAAGGGGTTTATAGCTGTGATTCTTAGAACCTACTCCACTAATACCCAAACCCACTCTCTAGGCAGAGACAGCTCTGCCATGAACTTGAGGCAGCAGTGCCGTGCCCAGCATAAGACAAAGCTGCGTACTGGAGCACTGGTTCACCTACAGTTCTTTACAACCTTTGGTGCCTGCTTTTTTTACTATTATATTTAGCTTTTAGTTGGCTGAATATTTAATTTTTAGATGCTACTTTGCTACAATGAAGCTCTATTTACCGAGTCACTAATAAATTCATTCACATTTTCATTCAGGAGAACACAAGTAGGACCATTACCAGGACAAACACTTCTTAGACTATTTTCTGTATCGTTATCTTACTAACAACCTCTTCCTTTTAGCACTCTTAGGCAATAAAAAAGGGAGTTATTTTTGGCCAGCTCAGCTACTTAAATCAGTTTGTTGATTGCAGGGTAATGAGGTGGTAGGGTGTGCATGCTCATGTGTGGGCAGGACAATTTGTAAAGGCTTAGAACACTGCAGAACAACTGCAGCTGGAAACCGTAAAGCTGTTTCACATCCAGTGACAAAGCTGTTTAAAAAGCCCT